AAAAAAAAAAAAAAAAAAAAAAAAGGATATAATAATTCCTTAGTCGATGTGGTGGTATATGCCTCTAATCCCAGCACTTGGGAGGCTGAGGCAGGCAGGAGGATCTTCCGTTTGAGGCCAGCCTGGTCTACATAGTTCATGGCAGGCCTAGGCTACATAGTGAGTTCAAAGCCAGCCTTTATTTTTATGGATGAAAAAAATGAAATGGAGAAAGTCAATTAACCTGTGATAATAATTCCTTAGTCGATGTGGTGGTATATGCCTCTAATCCCAGCACTTGGGAGGCTGAGGCAGGCAGGAGGATCTTCCGTTTGAGGCCAGCCTGGTCTACATAGTTCATGGCAGGCCTAGGCTACATAGTGAGTTCAAAGCCAGCCTTTATTTTTATGGATGAAAAAAATGAAATGGAGAAAGTCAATTAACCTGTGACCACGTAGCAAATGTGTGGTTCTGCTTGAGTTAAAGAATAGACCTGAACTTAATTCTGCTTTATCGTTAGGTGAAAAGTCATTTTTATATTTCTTAAGGATCCAAATGTACTTTGGAGATAAACATTCTCCGTGTCTCTCATTGTAAGAGAGGTTAGTAAACAATAGAGCAAAGGAAGGCAGTATGCTCTAGAATGATGGTTTCAAACCTTACCGTGCATCAAAATAATCTAAGGACTTCTTAACGCACAGATTATGGGGCCCCTATTCCAGAGACTGATTTAGGTCTGGAGTCAACTATGAGAATTTGCATTCCTAGCAAATTCCCAAGTGATGATGATGTGGCAGGCTCAGGAATCACACTCTGGGAACCGCTGCTTAAATGCGGACAAACCTTGGCTTGTGGCACTCCCGGGTCTAAACCCTGGCTACATGTCTCCCTGCTGCGTGGTATGGAGCAAGTAGTATGTCACCATTTCCTGAATTCTAAAACAGGGATAGTAGTATTCTACAGAGTTGTAAACTTAAATGAGTTAACGTAAAAATGTTGAGCATATTGCTTGGTATATAGAAAACACTCAGTAGACATTTTGTATTGTTCTCTATAATAAGCCTAGGGATCAAATGTTTATGAACCATAAATTCAGTCAGTGTTTTAGAGCAGAGACTTTTGGTGACCTTGTCACTTTGTGTTGTTAGGACAAATTCATGTGCACGTATGCACACGTACACATATATCCAAACGTTTTTCGGTCTTGTCTTCTATTTATGGTAGCAGAAGAGTGAGAGCCAGAAAAAGGGACGGTAACACATGGAAGGACCTGGAGAAATTAGAAAGGTCTTACAAGGTGTGATTGAAAAATACAGGGAATGTTTATATTTTTAAAAAATTGCAGTAAAAGACACGTCACCATGAATCCCGCTTAAAATACTCTCCCTCACTTTGAATACACTTATCCCATTGCTGATGGCACTTTCTGCAGCACTCCTGAAGTCCTCTTTGGTGAGTGTCTTTACTCCTGCTGTCGGCCCGTTCTGAATGGATTCAGAACATGTACTTTTCACGGTCATTGTGACTTTGGGAAGATAAGGACACACTGTAATGTTTTTATGAGCCTACCTTTCCATTGGATGGCATATAGCAGCAGCGCTCACAGTATTTTCAATCGCACCTTGTAAAGGCACTCACCAAAGAGCGTTGGAGAATTGCTTCATACAGTGGCAAGAGCAATGGGATAACTGAGCTTCAAGGCGGGGGTGGCGGGAGGGGGGATATTTTGAGAGGAATTAAGGGCAATGTTTCATTGTAACCCTATTTTGTTTTTAAAATTTAGGCATTAACTGTATATTTCAGTCACACCATGTATATTACTGGTGGGGATGTAAAATGGTACAGCTACTTTGGAAAAGTTTGGCAATTCCTCTAAAAGTTAAACACAGAGTTTACCAAATTGACCCAGGCCTTTCATTCCTGAATAGGTATGACCAAAGGAACTGAAAACACGTTAACACAGTAGCTTGAACACAAATGTTCACTGCAGTATTATTTAAAACAGCCCCAAAGTAGAAACAATCCAAATGTCTGTCCACTGAAAAATGAATAAGCAAATATGGTATGTCAGTGCAGTGGAATATCTATTCAGCTCTAAAAAGTAATGAAGTGCTAATGTATGTTATAACATGATTGAATCCTAAAAACATACTTCTCAGTGAAGAAAGGCAGACACAAAAGACCACATACTGTGGGGTTCCATTTGTATGGGTGTCCAGAACGAGCAAATCTACACAGGCAGAAAATAGGTTAGTAGCTACTAGGGCATAGGGAAAAGGGAATAAGGAGCTAGTGAGTATAGGTTTTTTTTCAGATTGATGAACTGTTTTAAAAATAGGTAGTGATGAGGGTTATACAGCCTTGTGAATGTACCAAAAAGTCACTGAATCATAACTGATATAAGTCATGTCTCAACAAAACCAAAACAACTACATGTGTGGGCATAATCACGAATGAGAAATCTTTGTTGTCATTAAAAAATGATTGTGGGGGGAAAAAAGGTGATTCACAGTGGGAAGTCATTTTATGGAGAAATAAATCATCCTATTAGAGATGATTCATACTGCATAGTAACCCATCACAAGTTTTGAATGTTGCAAAACCGAAAATCTATTTAACATAATTTTGCCAACATGTCTCAAATATTTTATGGTGAGGAATATTTACTCACAAGAGTCGTGGCTGAGGAGCTGGTGTCCTCAGGCTTCCACACACGTGGCAGTACTGGGAAGGTTTGTTGAAGCAGATTCCTGGGTGTCACTGAGAACTGACATTTCTGACAGACTTCCAGGTGATCCAATCTGGCAAGTTGGGGAACTAAACTTTGAGTTGCATCCTCATATGTTACACAAGTCCTGTGTCTTCTATGGGTGAATTTTATGGTTTGTGAAGTATATATCTCAATAAAAATGCTGAAAAATTGATTAAGAAGTTGCTCTAAAATGTGAAGTTTTATGGTTTTATTAATGACAAGACAATGTTCTGTAAGGGAATTGATTTAATTATTAATGTCTTCATTTATAAAATGGAGTACCCTGTATACTGCCAAGTGCTGAGGCAGAATGAAGTTATGAATTATTTTCCAAAGTGTGATCTGTGAGTAAAAGCATGTTACCTAACAACCAAACCAAACCACTGCCACCATAACAAAACCACAGCAACAAAAACAAAGTTCACAGCCAGTTAATTTTGGGAGATTGTTAAATTAAATAATGCCTATCCCAGATGAATGGCCCAGCCATTCTTCTAGTGCTGAGGCAGAATGAAGTTATGAATTATTTTCCAAAGTGTGATCTGTGAGTAAAAGCATGTTACCTAACAACCAAACCAAACCACTGCCACCATAACAAAACCACAGCAACAAAAACAAAGTTCACAGCCAGTTAATTTTGGGAGATTGTTAAATTAAATAATGCCTATCCCAGATGAATGGCCCAGCCATTCTTCTCCTTCAACTCCCCTTTCCCTCTTTGTGTGTTGGGTGTGTGTGTGTGTGTGTGTGTGTGTGTGTGTACTGAGGTTGAACCCAGGGCCTCACACATGCCAGGCACTCACTACCACTGAACTGTATCCCTTGCCTTGAACCCTATCATAAGTCTATATGTATAAATCCATGATCACATATGAGCTATTTTTTTTTTCTGGTACTGTGAATTGAGCCCAGGGCCTTTGTGCAAAGCTACATTCCAGCCCATCTTTGTTTTTTATTTTGAGTCAAAGTCTTGCTAAGTCACTGAATTACCCAGCTTGAGCTCATGATCCTGCACCTCAGCCACGCAGAGTGCTGGGATTACAGACCTGCAGCACTGTGCCTGGCTTCATTCTTATTCTTGTGGTCGATCTTCTAGAGCTACTTACATCTTTACTGAATGGAAAGTGAATGAACAAAATTTGAAAAACATTGTGAGAGTAGCAGTAGCTGCTGCTCCTTTGTTTCATCTCCCTTATATTCTACTTGGTAATTTATTGACCTTTTTACTGAAAAAATGTATTGACCATAAAGATTCTTCACAAATAACTACTTGCTACAATAAAGTAATCGAATAAGGATTAAACCCAGGGCCTTGTGCATGTTGGGCAAGTGCTATACCATTAACTATTTTTTTACTCTACTCTCCTTTTTCAGATTTTGAGACAGGTGTCTCTAAGCTGCTCAGGCTGCCCTCTAACTTATGATCCTTTTGACTCCACCTCTTGAGTAGTGACAATTACAGATATGCACCGCCACACTTGTCTTCAAATGTTTTCTTCTGTATGCAGTTTAGACTTTGAAATCTTGTCCTATCTTTTTAATTTTGGCTAACATTTCTCCTCTGATTTTCTTTACTACTTTGAGTGTCATTTTTGGTAAATTTTAATGAATTTTTACTCCTTTCCTAGAATTTTTAGTCATATTAAACATCTCAAAATTGGATATCTTATTTTTTTAAAGTTTTTTTTAATTTCATTGAAGTCCTGTTTAGTTTTTTTCTTTAGTTGATTATGTTGATTTATACCTTTTTAGCATTTTCTGTTTTCAGCTCATGTTTAAATCTGATACATTTTGAGCTAATTTTTATATACAAAGTGAGGTCTTACTTTGTTTCATATACACAATTGTGGGGCTTTTGTTTTGTGTTTTGGTACCGGGGATTGAACTTGGGACCTTGCGCTTGCAAGGCAGGCAGCAGAACCACTGAGCTAAATCCCTAGCCCTGGATATCTTATTTATGCAATATTGGAAGCACATCTTTTCAGGACTTTACTATAATCATTCCTTTATTTCAGATGAGGTGGAGGATCGTTCTACTATGCTATTGTTGTCTCTTGGTCACATGTCTACTTGCTGTTCTTCAAGCTGTGCCTATAGACATCGACAAGACAAAAGTACAAAATACCGAACCTGTGGAAAGTGCAAAGATAGAACCACCAGTAAGTAAAGAGGAAGAAATTATAACTAAATGAAGTGAATTATAACACGTAAAATGGGAAGAATTACAAGTAAAATGTTGCTAATATTTATTACATAGAAAGTTGGGTATTTAGGAAATATTTCTGAAACAGCAGTGAAGAGCATATTGGAGGAGCATGTATTGTTTAATATTAGTTAACGTTTGTTAAATTAGTACATGGAAGAATTAACCATAACACACCTTTAGGGTTGAGCCAGGGAAACACCGTGTTATTCAAAAGTGAGATAGGACAATGGGAAAGAAACAATTATTACTATTATTGTCTAGAGCCTTGTCCAGTCTGCAGCCATCTTTTTTTGCCCTCTCTTTTAAATGTTATAATAAAAATTTAAATATAAAAGTAGTTTTGTTACTTATATGCAGTAACTATATTATATATTTTATATGTAAGCCAGGGCAATAAAGTAAAAAGGTGGGCCACAGGTTGGACATGGCTGGAAACCCTAAGCCATATAGGAAATCTACCTTTATGTTACAGTAAAAGATGATATTAGCTCTGATAGGAAACTCTTTAAGAAATAAATATAGCTTTCTCATCTGAACTGTTGAAACTATCAAAGTAAAGGTTTTAATGTCACTTTGCTAGATACTGTTTTTCAAGATCAAAGTTCTGGATTCAAAGAAAAAATTTCAGAAACATTACTGTTTGTTTTTTAACTTGAAGGATACTGGACTTTATTATGATGAATATCTCAAGCAAGTTATTGATGTGCTGGAAACAGATAAACATTTCAGAGAAAAGCTGCAGAAAGCAGACATAGAGGAAATAAAGGTAAGTATAATTAAATACTTACTTAACAAACATTTGAGCATGCCAGATCCTGAGCTGCATACTGGGAATATATATGTAGGTGAGACTTCTTCCTACATTAAAGGGCTCTTAAGGGAACATCACCCAGAAATAGATTATCCAGTGGACATACGTTGAGTTTTAATAGATTATAGAGATGTGAAGGACAGACACGTAATCCAGTATGAAGCAGCAGAGAAAGGTATGAAGTCATTCTTCCTAGTAGAGGTGATGTCAGAGCTTAAAGACCAAATTGTGAAAAGGAGAGGGGCTGGATGACATCCTAGGCCAAGAAACAAGTGTTCAGAGAGAGGTGGTCTATAGGAAATGAGGTAGTAATTGTTGCTGGACCCCGCATTGAGAAGTGAGGGGCCCTGAGTGGCCAAAAGATGAGGTTGGAAGAGTCATGGATCAGATGACTCAGAGGGTCTTGTATATCAGAGAAAGAGGTTGGATTTTGATCTGAGGACAGCAGGAAGATTTCGAAGGTATAGTATAGGTTAGATTCTGGTGTTTTCAATAAGGTTCAGATTAGGAGGAGAGTTAATGGTTTATATCTTATGTCAGTAGGGGAGGAATAAACATTTGCCACTCTCCTAAGAACCCTATCATAGCCCTGGACAGTTCCTTATTACTTGTAATAATTAAGGGAGAGCCAGGAATGTAGCTCAGTGGCTCTGCACCTGCCTTGCAAGTGCAAGGTCCTGAGTTTGATTTCCAGTACAAAGAAAAGAAAGAGTTGTAAAGATATGACATGGGAGATTGTTTTAAAGACTTTTGTTGAAGGGAAATGTACCAGTTTAGCTGGGTCTATTTCAGATTCAAGAAGTTAAAGATGTTTCCAATTTTAAACTTTCAGCTATGCCTCCTAAGATAGTTTTATTTGCTCATACAGCTGTTTGTTTTTTAAATTTTCCTTTAAAATTTGCCTATTTTAGAATCAAAATTAGAGAACTGTGTTTGAAGGAATCATTCTGGCTCAAAATTCTTCTTACTGTAATATCTCTCCCTAGTATGGGCTTCTTTATCAGACTGATTCATAACAGGTTGTGGTATTTATTAAAGTTTCTGTATGGCTTTTAGCTCCCAGCTTTCCTCTTGGAAGCTACAACCTGTTGTGGGGAAAAGGTAGCGATGTTATGCCAATAGTTCCTCTGAATTATCTTTGAGGATAATCTTTTTCATCCTCTGAAAGTTTAATTTGGTCTTTGGAAGTAATTTTCTAGGGTGAATTGTATTTAATGTAGAACTCTCAACATCTGCTCTCCAACTGAATTTAAGATTAAAAGCATTATTGAGGAAAAACAAAAAATGTAAATTTTGGGAGGTACCATAAAGAGATTTCAGGGAAAAAAGTTAAGACCTTTTATTTATAAAAATATTATAACCTTATATTTTCTTTCCTTCCCCAGTTAATGTCTGTTCCTTATGAAGGAGAAAAAATGAAGTCAAGTAGTAGTACAATGAAAAAGGAAGGAGGATAAAATAGACAGTAAAACTCAAGCTAACAGAATCCTCAGAAATAGCCAAGCAAATACTCTTGTCTCAGGAAGAAGTGTAAAATTCATTCACTTTTTTTTTTTGAGCCAAGAATTTTGAAAAGGGAAGCATATTACATTTTTTCACTTTCCAAATATTGCTTAACTCCTTTTGCAGATGGGAATGGGACCAAGACAGGGAAGTAATGGAGGGAGAGGGGAAGTGAAACATGAAGATATATTGTGTACATGTATGAATAAAATTGTTGTGTACCACAAACATGTACTAATAAAAATAAGAAAATAAATCCAAATTCAAGACAAACAAATGGGGAAGATTACAGCTTTGTCTCTACTGCTCTGCTGAATACACTTTCATGGAGAGTGTCAGTAACTTCTTTATTGCTAATCCAGTAAATACCATAACCTTTTTTACTGCCTATCTTTCTGGGGTCCTTTATTTTATCTCAATAGTCTCAGAGTGTAGGCTGTTAAAACACATATTTCTGTCCCTCCAACTATAAAGTTTTTGTTTTTAACAGGTCTTGCTGTGTAGTTCAGGCTGACCTTAAACTCACGATGTAGCCCAGGCTAGCCTCGAACTTGTGATGATTCTCCTGCCTCAGCCTCCTGAGTGCTGGGATTACAGGTGTGTGCCACCATACCCTGCACCCTACAGAGCTTCTGATGTGGTACATCCGGAGCCTGCACCGTTGATATCCTTAGATGATGCTGATGCTTTCATTTGGGGACCACAGTTTAATAGCCAATCTATTAACTGATAATAATAACTCTTCTACCCTTACAATCTACTTTTCTTTTTACGTCTATAATAGCACAGTCTATTTGGGCATGGTGATCCATGCTTATAATCCTAGCTAGTTGGGAGGCTGAGGCAGGAGGATTGAAGGTTGGAGGCCAGCCCAGCAAGCTCAGGGAGATTCTGTCTAAAAATTAAAAAAATGGCTAGGAATGCAGCTCAGTCCTGGAGTGCTTGCCTAATGTGTGAGGCCCTGGGTTCTATCCCTAGCATTGAAAAAAGAATAAAAGCCTGTATATTCCCCTAGTTTTAATCACTCATCTATGAAAAAAGCAATCAAAGGATACAACCTAAAGAAAAGGTGAATTATGAAAAATCATTTGTATGTGGAATGACTTACACCAAGTTAACTTAAAAAAAAAACAGCTTTAAGATATATTTCATATACTGTAAAATTCACTTCTTAAAGCATACAATTTAGGGATTTTTCAGTATATCCGTAGAACCATACGATCATCATTACTATCTAATTTTAAAGCATTTTCATTGACCCCAAGAGAAACCCTATATCCATTAAGTACAGTAGTCACTTCCAATTTCACCTCTCTAGCTACAACTAATCTACTTTCTGTCCCTGCGGATTTGCTTATTCTAGACATTTGATATAAATAGAATCATCATGATGCGTGGTCATTGTCTATCTTCTTTCATTTAGCATAATGTTTTCATTTAGCATAAGGTTCATCTGTGTTGTGACATGGGCCAGCATTTTCTCCTTTTATGTAGTATCCCACTGTACAAATGTACAGTCAGCCCTTCATGTCTGTGAGTTAGGTCCACACATGTGGATTCAGCTAACCTCGGATCAGGAACATCTGTGCAGATTTCTTTCTCATTGTAATTCTCTAAACAGTACAGTATAACAGCTCTCTACATAGCATCATCTTGTATTAGGTATCATAAGTAACCTGAAGGTGATTTAAAGTATGTAGGAGGATACTGCATATGTCATGTGCAAACATCATGGCGTTTCCTGTAAGGGCTTAAGAGTCACAGGATTTTTGTATCCACAGAGTTTCCTGGGATCCATCTCCTGTGGATGCTGAGGGAGGACTGCCCTAGATTTTGTTTATCTATTCATCAGTTAATGACTATTTGAGTTGTTTCGACTTATTTAAGTATGAATAATGCTGCTGTGAACATTTATGTTCGAGTTACTGTGTTAACATGTTTTCACTTCTCTTGGGTATATACTTAGGAAAGGAATTGCTGGGTCATCTGATAACTATTTCTGATTTTTTGAGGCACTGTCAAACTCCTTTCCAAAATGGCTACACCATTTTGCAATTCAATCTTTTTAAGTTTCTTCTCTGTTCTTTATACTTTTCTAAGTTATATGATTGTTAGACATCTTGATTTTAGGGTTACAAACTGAATCTCTTCTGACAGAAATGCTTTTTATAATGTCAGATTTACCTAAAATAGTCCAGGCATTTATCATTAATTTATTATAACCTTATTTTTAGTATGTTGCATCAGGTCTAAAATGGAATCTAATAGATAAATCTGTAAATTTTGTTTACAGAGTGGGAGGCTAAGCAAAGAGCTGGACTTAGTAAGTCACCATGTGAGGACAAGACTTGATGAACTGAAAAGGCAAGAAGTAGGAAGGTTAAGAATGCTAATTAAAGCTAAATTGGATTCCCTTCAAGGTGAGTGCTTAAGAAAAAGTGGGAATATTTCAGTATTTGGTTATTAAATCCACATACCATGTTCTTCTCGCCAAAATTAAATGTAGTGGTTTGGCTTCTCTTAATTTTTAATTTAATCTTTAAACTATGTAACACATTTACATAATTACAAAATAAAAATGGTTATCTTAAATAATTATATCAATAAAACAGGAGAATGAAAACTATAAATGATAGGAAAATTCAACAAAGTAAACACAATCTAAAGAAATATATTTTTGTATGGATAAACAATGGCTAAGTAGAAGATATACTGGATGAAAATACTCCACTTTCAATAGGAACAAGTATAAATACGCAGAACAAGCCTGTTAAGAAATGCACAAGATTTACCACAAAAACTTTAAAATACTCCTGAAGGAGGTAAACATAGACTAACAAACAGAAAAACTTATACTGTTTTTTAATATAAAGACTCAATATTATAAACATGTTAGTGCTCCCTCGGCTAACTTACAAGTTTTACATGATCCACATAAAAATATATGATTTTTTGGTGGTAATAGTCAAGTTAACTTTAGAGTTCATCAGAAAAAAAGACTGCCATGAGGCTTGGGGGTACATCTAGACACAAGGCCCCCTGGCCACCCAAAGACTTCTGCACATTCCTTTGTGCAAAAGGCATTCATTCAGTTCATCTCTAAAACTTGCCAGATTCCTGAGTCAGCATTGCTCTCTAAAGTTCAAGTCCAAAGTCCCCTCTGAGATTTAAGGCAAGCTAAGAGTACAAATAAAAGAAAAGTTCTTCCAACGTGCAATGGCATAAGACAGATATTTCCGTTCCAAAAGGTACAAATAGGATAGAAAGGAATGGGACCAAAGCAAGTCCAAAATCCAGCAGATCAAACATTAAGCCCTTCAGTTCCGTATGCAGCATCCAAGGCAATCTGTGGCAAGAAGTGAAATCGAGGGGCTTGAGTGGGTCCACCCCTACGGCACTGCTAGTGGTTGTGGCTCCTGTGGCTTCTCTCTTGGGCCAGCTCCACTCCCTCCTTGCAGTTTTTCTCAGATGATTCATGATCCTGGCTTCTCCAGACTTCTCCATTGCACCTTCGGCTTCATCTTCATAGCTTCACACACTGCCTGCTCAGGGGCACCCTGCCTGGCCTCCCAGGCCTTTTTCTGAAATCTGGGTGGAAACCTTCCTGATCCCACAGCTCTTGCACTATGCATGCTCATAAAACCAGCACCACGGAGATGATCCCAAGGTCTGCTGCCAGCTGGAGCAGTAACCAGGCTTCCTTCTCTCCTGGCTATAGTTGAGTGCCTATGAACCAAACCCCAATGAACAACTTTCCTAGGCCATCACTGTTCTGGAACATGGTACTCTGGGGCTCTCTTCTCAAAGCAAAGTCTTTCACTTTTGTAATTCTGAGGCTAATAGCCTGGAGCCTTGCTGGTTCTTGTGGTGAGGCTGTTTTTTCTGTTTTCTTCTAAAATACTTGGCTTTTTCTTGCTAGTCTTTTCAGCAACCAATTTCTCCTCTGTTTTATCTTTGCAGGCTGCAACTTCACTGGAACTTCCTTTTGGGCCAGAGTCAAAGTGTTTTCAATCATTCTACTGGGCTCTTTGTTCTTGATTCTCAACATAAATCTGGCTAAAAGCTCCCAACAGTAGCCATGCTACCACCTCAATATTAGACTGTCTTGAAATTTCTTCTGCAAGATTAATTAGTCTGTCACCCTTAATCTTAGTTTCAGGCAAAGTCTCTGGATAAGAGCAAAATGCAGACAAACTTTATGCCAAGTTATAGCATACATTGTTTGTAGTCCAACAGCCAATGCAATCCTTCTCCACAGCAGAAACCTCCTGAGCCTGGTCTTTACTGGCAGGATTTCCGTCAGCCTTCTGCTCTTCTGACCTCTGACCAGACTCTCCCATCAAGTACTGCCTAAGGTGTTCCAGCTCTATTTTTTTCAGCCAATATCTCCAAGCCTTTCCAAACTCATCCCACAAGTCATTTCCAAAAGCTCCTAAAACCATATGGTCAAGTACAATCACAGCAACAACCCCACTTCTTTGGTATCAGATTCTGTCTTACTTCCTTTTTCTTGTTGCTGGGACAAAATACACAACACCCAAAGTTAAATGAGGAAAGGTTTATTTAGCTCACAGTTTATAGAGGTTTCAGTCCATAATCAGCTGGCTCTAAGACAGGGTGGCTTAGCCGATGGGTATTGCAGAGGAGAAATAGTTCATGGCAGGCAGAAGGTAGTAAAGGAAGCAAGGGATGACCACAGCTCTTTCTGTCCTTTATGTCTTATCCAGGCTTCTTAGGGCAGGTCGTACTCACAGCCTTAATCCTAGTGGCCTTGATCCTAGCACTACAGCATAAATCAATCCTAGCATCACATACTGTAGATCCAGCCCCCTCTGAAAAAGCCCCACCTGTGACTGCATGAGGTTTGGGTAGGAAATCTAGACACAAACCATAACACATGTACATATATGTTTCCTATACGTCCTTTACGTACCCTAAGTACATACAGCGCTAATCCCCATCCACCTCCACAGAATTCTTTTGTTAGCCTTGAACTCCTGGACTCGAGTGATCTTTCTGCCCCAGCCTCTCAGATAGCTAGGATTACAGGCACATGGTGTGGTGCCCAGCTCTCTATAGAATTCTTTCTTGTCTTCCACCATTTCATATTTGTATATTCTGAGTTCCTCGATGTAGCCCTGATCTCCAGCATCAACATATGTGCCCTTCTTACTCGATTGAAATAATCCAGAAGCACACCAACTTTTGGTTTTTAAAAATTTTCAAAGAATGACTTTTTTTTTTTTTTTTTTTT